AAACCAAGCAAAACTAAGCAAAGCAAAAACAAATAAAAAATGCTTGATTATTTTGTTGTTGCTTTTATATATTCTGAAAAATTTATTCAATTAAAATAAAGAAGCTTAATAATAATACTTGAATTGTGCTTATTTGGTGTATCGGATGTGCACGCACTGTTAACTATAATTGTGCTTATTTGGTGTATCGGATGTGCACGCACTGTTAACTATATTATACAATCGCTATAGATTTGTTCTGAAACGTTTTCTATTCAAATGCATTTTGGTAAATTTGTTTTTGCTTTGACACTCTCCAAGTGCGAGGAGTGCTGGCAGTCGATCATTGTCGACTGGAGCAGTCTTGCTTTTTATTATCGTTGCACAGAGAGAGCTGTTTAAGACTTCTTCTACATCATTTGATAATTCGCCGACAACTATGTAAATATAAGCTTGGCATCTAAATATCTTATTTCTATGCAAAATAAATTTAATCCACACGCTTGAGGAATGATTCGAATAATGAGTTGGGGTAAAGTGTGGAGCACATTTGGCAGCTGCTGCTGTCAGAATAAAAGCCAAATGCTGTCGGCTTTAAATTGTTTAAACATTACGATGCATTGGGGAATTCAATGCAAGTGGCTGGAAAAAAAACTTTTTCACTTCAAAAACAAAAATAGAAAAGGAAAGCCAAAGAAAGGCAGAACGTTGCCAGCAACGGCAGTGGCAACATCCAATTATTTTTCGATTAGTTTCGCTATCATTCTTCAACAACAACAACAACAAAGGCAGCCATAACAAAAATAAAAGCAACAAACAAAGCAACAGCAGCAGCAACAACAACAACAACAATTTGTATTTGGCGCATCTGAAACCGAAACTGAAAACGAACCCAAAACAGAAAACTCACCCCTCTGATAGAAAGAATAGGTAAGGGTAGAAAACATTTCGGTGTATGTGTGTGTGTGTGTGTGTTTGTGTGTGTGTATGGAGTAGTGGGAGTATCAAGAGAGCGGCAAAGTCGAAATATAAATAAATAAAACATACAAAATGGAAATAAATCTAACTGAAAAGCCATAAAGCATTTTCAGCATTCGCAATTTAATATGTTCGAGGGTATTTTTCTCGCACGTAGCGAAGATGAACAACACCCACCACCACCAAGCAGTAGCAGTGGCAACATCGCCACCACCACCAACAACAGCAGCGCAAGATGGTGCCTGCTCGAACAGGACGAAGGACGCAGGACGCTGGAAGCAAGACGAGCCGACAGCTGGACGAGTAGACAATGGCCAAGAGCGAAAGCAAGACGGAAAAAAAGAAAAACAAAAACGCAGCGCATTTGAAATCGGATTCTTAGCCTCGCTCCACACTGTGAATGTAGATGAAGATGGAGAGATGCCTGTGCCAGGGCCTCTGAATTGAGCGAGTGAGTGAGTGAGTCGGGGAGTGGATGATGGAGCGAAGGGAGGGGGGAAGGGGGAAACTCGCGAGCGCGCTAAGTGTGATATATTTCCTAAGATTATATAAAATGTTTTATTTGTTCTTCTTGTTGCTACTTTTCCCGCTGCTTTGCTGCTGCTGCTGCTGCTGCTGATGCTTTTTTTTTGTTTCTCGTCTTTGCCAAGCAAATTGCGTGCGCATCAGTCGAGCGAGGGGTGGGTTGGGCGGTGTGATAGCGAACCCATGCGAAAGTGCGAAAAAAGGATATTAGGTGTATATAATATATACATGCATATATAGTAAGGGAAACTCTAAGGCACCCACTGCCAGCACTTGTGCAATGGTTTTGAGCTACGTCGCAACGAGCGAATGAATTATTTCTTACCCTCATCTAAATTCCAATTCAGTGGTTCTGCGTCTTCTTCTTTTGCCTCATCTTTTTAGTCAGAGTTGTTTAGTGGAAGCTGCCTTAACTCAAAGTTTGCGGCATTTGGCGAAACAACAAAAGCAACGGTGGCAAACGCATTGTTTAACGGTAGGCAAACTGTTAAATATTTTAAAGAAAATTTATATGAAAATGTAGCTTAAGAAATTATTCTATGACTGTCAAATTTAATTATTATGTATTATTTATATTGTGAGTAAAAATTGCATTATTTTTAATTATTGATGATTAATAAAATCCTTTTCACCTTTCTTAGATTGTCAAATGAAATATGTTAAGTTTATTTATTGCATATATTTATTATTTATTATAGAGTAAATGTTTTTTTTTTTTTGGTTAGAAATTATGCTTAAGAAAATGCTGCTTCATTTTAAGATTGTTAAGTGAAATAAATTAAATTTATTTATTGTATATATTTCTTAAGTATTTATTGAGTAAGGATTGTTTTATTTTTGTAGTGTTGATAATATTTTTAGACTGTCAACTGAAATTTCTCCCACTGTACTTTAACTGACAATAGTCTCAAGCCACAGCCTGTTAGCTTGCATCTGTCCACTGGGCATAGGGCTTCATATGGCCAAAACTTAGGCTGACGATGACACCAGATGTGACCAAGCTGAATTTTTAAGTAGCCAGCACATTTACTGCACCCGCTTTTACAGAAGCGCTTAGAAATTAGTGACCATTCTTTATTTATTTTTTTTTTGTACTTTCAAGTATTTGCTTTTGACGCTGGTTCAGATGAGGAAACGATGCTGATGATGCTGCCAATGGCTGAGAATAACAACCATTTTTCCTGCTTTATGCCAAGTTAAGTGGGTGAAGCGCCTCCGCTTGCGCACGCTCACACACAATGGGGCGGGGTGGTGCGGGTAGGTGGGGGAGGGTTTGACAGCGGGTGGAGTATGGCCTGAAGATGAATGTGCCGCAGCTCTATAAATATGTATGGGATGCTATATATTAAAACCGACTCGACTCGAGTCAACTCAACTCGCACCGAGCAAAAACTAATTTCGAAAAATGCCAAAAGAAAACGCAGCAGCAAAATGAAAATAAAAGAAAACAGAAAACACACACACAAAGCAACGAGGCGAGCCGAGCTGAGCTGAGTTGTTGTCGGCTGAGGGGTTGGGGGTGGGCTGGTACGGGTTCGGGTGGAACAAGAAAAGGACATTTGTGCTGCCTTTGCTGCTTTGGCTAGAGTCTGGGGCTGGGTTTTGGTTCGGTTTTGGTTTTGGCATTGGGGGATGGCTGGCAGGACCACAGCCAGGACTTGGAGCCGACACAGACTGACAGCCAGGCTACGGCAGCTGCTGCTGCTCCTGCTGCTCCTTCTTCTGGTGGGTACACGAGGGTAATATAACACAACAAAATGCAATAAAGCATTTTGTGGAAACTTGAAGATGTGAGCAGCAGATGCTGATTAAAGGTGTGCGGTTTGGTGTGGGCAAGAGAACGTTGTCTGCACACACACACAAACACAAGCACACACCCCTCTACACCTACTCGCATATAGATGAGCATTGCAAAAAAAAAAAAAAAAAGAAGAAATGGGCAAACTCATTTGCTGCTTGGAGTTTGAGTGGCAACTGCGGATGGGCGTTTTTGCTCATTTAAATTGCGTGTACATTTGCCGGGCACTTCACACTTGAATACGAAAGCAGATAAAGTAATGTAGGAAACGACTGGAAGTAATTGGCTGCTGCCAGTAATGAACGCACTCCCAAAACTCTGCCCAACTCTGCCAGCAATACAATTTCATAATTGCCCATCAAAGAAATGAGCTGAAGCTGGCCCATTCAACTATTCTTTGAATCGTAAAATAAAATATTGCAAATATGTTTAAAATTATTGGACACAGTCAATTTTAATCAATTATCACTGTCTTCAGTTTGAACATTAGAAGATATTTTTTTTTAACTCATTAAAAATGATAAAGGGGGCAAAATTATGTAACTGGCACAACGAAGCATCTCCGATACTATAAATTAGCAGAGTCGATTTAATCTGGTCCGATCTCACATCACAGTTGCCAAAAACCATAGCCAGATCCAGTTTCCTTTAGTTTATCAATAACCGATTACTGATTGCAATATAAGACAGAATTGTAAATATATTGCAATCCAATTGATATGTAATATATCACACATAACTGGCTTTAATAGAGATCCCAATCTCCACTTAGCGTTGTACTGTAGCAGGCTTCATTGGTTAACCGTAGAGCACTTTTCAGATATTTTCTACATAAGATATTAAAAAAATAAATTCATTCTGCTTTTCCATTAGGTCGTCTCACATTAATATTCCCAGTAGACCTACTAGGAGTTTTGTCCCCTTCATACACTACAATCCTGTTCGTGTCATTTGTAAATTTTACAATGCCTTTTTCCTCTTTTCTTGCCTTTTTTCTCCACAGAAGTCTCTCTTCCTTTAATTAAATTTTCATTACTAATCAACCTTAGAGATAAATCTAAGTGTACTTAAATGTAGTAAACTTATTTAATCCATTGGCTCAGATACTTTCGTATTTTTTCATTATCTTCTGTCTCAATCCGTATCTCTCTCTCTCTATTTTCAACATCTTAACAATTTTGTTTTGATTTTTTCCGTGTATTCGCAATCTTTTCAATATATATTCGACCATTAGACATTTTAGCATACTCAGATTAATTTATTAGTTCCTATAATTTTTATTTGTGTTTTCCTTAATCTTTCATTTTAATTTAATTTCTCATTAAACATAATTTCAATTAATTTCATTTGTAACTTTAATTTTAAAGTTAATTTTAAACATTTTAATCACTGTGGACTGGTTTGTGGCAACATTACAAAAATTAAATAAAAAACTTATTTTCATATTGAATAAGAAACTACTATCCATAAAGCTGAGTCATCTTAGTTGAGTTGATTTCAATATTAAAATGTAATACTATAATATTCAGTGTCATCTGGTTGAAGGCGAATAAGTTTGTCACGCTAACAATTCATAGCAACATCAATTTCATAACATTTTGAATTATTTTTTGCTAATCTAAGATCTAACAGGATTCTTTTTCGCAACAATAAAACAAGTGATTTGATGATAGTCTTTCTTTATTTTATTAAATATTTTAACCAAATTAAAAGAGAGCATCTTGTCTGCATAACTATTTCAGAAACCCCCTTTTCCAACGACTTTTCCGACTTTGCCAACGATTTTTCTTTCCTGTCTTACATACATCAACCATATATATTCACAGCATACATTTATTAACATTAAAGACACAATTTTTGTAAGCCAATACGACTTATATTGATTTGAGGTAAACTGCTATAACTACGAGCAGGGAGAGAATTGGAATTGGAGAATTGCTCCTAGAGGCAGCCAGCCTGGGTAATTTTTTTTCTGTATACTGTAATATTCCATGATCCATGGCCACCTCATCCAGATCGATCGGCTCATTGCGACAGCTGTGCAACAGCTCGTTAAAATAACGTAGGGAGAAGTTCAAGCAGTGCATATCCGAATGAGTGAAATGCACTTTCGAAAAGTCTTTGACATTATTATTATTGTTTTTGCCAAGTATCTGAAATCGGTCTGGATCAACGGTAATCACATTAGAATTTACAATCTTCGATGCGTAGAATGACACTAGAATCACGTTTTGGTTCGAGTCACTGGAACGCCACACCGAATAGGGAACACCCTTTATCACACGCTCATCAGCCCAACGTAGTACCAGGTCCGAGTTGATCACACTCTTGCAGATCAGATTTAGTTCAATGTTGTTGGCAAAATCGCAACTCCCGCTGTTTTCTGCATAATTTGTAGCATAATTAGGGACAGACATGACACCTCCAAGCCATAGGCTTAAGTTAAACAAAATAAGCAATAGCTGCTTCATAACACAATTTGCTATCTGAAATCTAATTTATTGACAAAAAAATCGAGGAATTCAATGATACAAATCTAAAAAACTAAAGTTGTATATAATTTTATTTAATAATTCATGGAATCTTTACTGCTTAAATCCTGTTCGTGAATCTAAAACATTATTGCCTGTTAATTTAAGTTTAAACCATATTTGGTTGGTCTAACTTAAGAAATAAAGTTTGTCCACATTTACATTTTAATATATTTTTCTGTGCAGATATATTTATGCAGATGGGTAAAGCATGTGCTAAGAGTATAAGGGAATCATAAATACGGCGCTGCATTTCAAAATTATTAATATAAAACTCTAAAGTCAAGTTAAGTTGATCGAAAGTAAATCTAATCCTAAAACAAAATTGGTGGAAAATATGTCACGCTTCAAATTCAAATTTTTTAAAACGATAGTATTAAATTTCAGTTTGAGATTAATCGCATTAGAATACGACTAAAAATCTATTGAATACCAAATGGAAATGGTTGAAAATTTTAAACAATCTGACAATGGTGGTTCTCAACTATCAAATGCAACGACTCATTCAACGAATGGACAACAAATTCAAGGTATTCAAAGCATTAATGTAATTGTTATTTTTTGCAGCGATGCTACTTTTTGCATAAGATGTCCGATTTTTAAGCATTGATGCAATCAAAATCAGGTCTATAAAATAAAATGGTTTATTATTACCAACTTGACTAAAAATTTACAATACACTCAAATCATTGGATTGGTTTGGCAACAGCAACTAAGAGTACGGTCAGTAGAGTCAGGATCAGACTACTAGAGATCATATTGGCAGCTTCAATGGCGCCTTCGGGGGATGCGTAAAAGAGAATTGTGTGGCGCGGTTCACGCAGCACATGATCCTGGCCGAGGCAAGTGTGTAGGAGAGCGCTGACAAAGGGTAATTCTGTGTTGAAGCAGAAGACCTGCGACTTCGGCATTCTTATGGTATGATAATCTCCGTTATTGTGTTTGACTTCTACTCGAGCTCCTGCAGGATCAATCATGATTGTGTCATATTCAAAGAGAACTCTGTCATAGAACGCCGCCATAGCTACCAGATCATGACTGGTCTGCCAGATCGAATATACAGTACCCATTGGAGGGGATACCTTGTCCCAGTCATCCTCAAACTGATCTGAAATCTCACCATGGCACATAAAATGTAGATCCTCGCGATCAGCAAAGCCACAATCATTTTCGACAAATGGTTTAAAAGAATTGGCGGAAACTGCTCCCAGCGATAGGACTGATAGCACCATAAGCATCCGGAGTCGATCCATAGCACAATAATAAAAATAAAAAATACCTAAACAAGTAATGATTAAAATTTCAAGGATTAACTTTGAATAAAAGATATGTTCATTTACGGTACGAATGTTTTATATGGACATGATATGTGCTCAACTCAAAGGGTATTAAAAAAGACGAGCTCTAAGAAATTAAAAATCAATTGAGATTCTAAATGAAACAACCAGGCGGCCACTTCAAGTGTGTAAGTCACATTAGATAAGCACAGCTAATTGATAATGAAATTTGATTTGAAATAATGTGCTCTGCTCTGCAAGGTAAGGTAAGTATTATCATCATCTTCCCAGTTTCTTTTACCCTGAACCCATTAAAAATTGCAAGAGGGGTATAATGAAGTTGTTCAAAAGTATGTAGAAGGCTGAATGAAGCATCTACGACTCTGTAAAGCATGTTGATCAACATCAAAAGTCGAGTAGATATAGCCATGTCCCTGTCCGAGTTCAGAAACTGTAAGAGAATAGATAACTTACAGATCAAGTTCATCCAATTTTGTTAATAGCTGCCCCCATTTCAAGAATATCGATTAAAATCGACTTAGAATAGACACAAATGTGAAGAAAAAGCCTCTCAATTTATATATAATATTTTTTTTTGTTTTCTCAGTTGTAATCTATTGACTGTAGGATGTTTTTCTGTTTGATTATTATTATCGGGGTTGCATGCACTGCGACCTGTAAGATATATTTCCTCTTGCTGAGCTCATAGCTCTTTCATGAATCTGAATTCCAGCATGAATGCGAGGATCTTTGTCGGATTGAGAGTTTCTTTGAACTCCGAGCCTAATTTTATTTAAATATTTCAAATAAAATAAAAATATTGATATTATTATTGTTATAATAGTAAGTTGAGTTGAGTCAAATTGAATTAAATATTAAAAATGGAAAAGATTGAGAGCTTCGATGGCTTGGCCCACTCTGTATGTAAGCCCCATAGCCCGAAGGTGCAATAAAATGAATCAAATGGGTTGCTTTTGTCGCTATTCGTTTCGAGTGCCTTCTTGTCGCCCCAGTCGAGCTGGCTGTCTTTTAAATGTAGCGAAAGCGACGCAGATCGTGATGGGAATTGGTAAAAGAAAAAACGTTTTGCATTTGCTACAACAGCTTGTTGTGCTCATGTTGTTGTTTGTTGCTGTTGCACTAATAACTGCAGTTCTTGGCAGGCCGAAGGCCCTTCTACATGTATCGCCCATTCAAGCCCATTGACCATTTTTGGCCCGAGCTGAGCAATTTCGACAGTTTTGGCTGTGATTGCGTTGTCACATCGAACAAAATGGAGTCTCGTTTCACAACCCCCACGCCCGCCCGCTCAACATACGCATGGTAATGTGGTTGTTGACACTAATTATAACTGGAATTGCATGCGGCTGTGTAAGACTCGCCTGCCGGCCCATGTCTGTGTAGCTTGCCACGCCTGCCCGCCTGCCTGCCTGCCTGCCTGCCAACCTGCCTTGGGCGTGCGTTTCCACCTGCAGCAACTCGGTCAGTTTTTCATTATTTTCACGGTGCATTTAGCTCACGTTTTAATTAAGTCGTTGCCGTCGTCGGAGTCGCTGGCGTTGCCATCAACATCGTTGCAATTCGTCGTTGGTTGGGGCTAAGGGAGACGGGGTTGGGGATGTCGGGTGCCGGGCTGGGTAGTCCGTTTGTAGCTGTTGCCGTCCGGCACTGCTGCACTTGCATGTAAATCTGCTCATCATTGTTGATGGCATATTACAATTCAACGCTCCTGGCACCGAACTGCCCCACCACCTCTCCACCTCCGCCGACAGAGCAAGTGCAGCAAATTGAATGCGATTTGCAGTCGACGCGTCTCCGAGTTGCAGTTGCAGTTTTTGCTGCAGCCTTTGTTTATTTTTTTTTTGTTTTTCTTTTTCGTTTTATGGATTTTCACTGGATTTGCTGCTTGTTCGTTGACACGTAACGTTCAGTTTTTGGAAAGCGTTGTTGTTGCTGTTGTTGCTGTTGTTGTTGTTGCTGGCTAGCCAAATTGCAAAAATGCTTTGGAATTTTTATAGTTTGTTTTTGCGTCGCATTATATAGTGCATATATATAAGGCTTGTCGGTCCACCTTTTTGCCTTGTACTCGAGCTAGACCTACCGCACAGCGAGTTCTGCGAGCTTTGATCTTCTGCCTGAAATATAAATAAAGATTTCATCATCATCATCATAGCCCAGCTAGACAGCGAGCGTTCCGCGTTCTGCTGCCAATTACTGTGCATATGGTGTATATATATATATACAGTGTCTCACAGCTTATTTGGAGCAGTGTCTAGCAAAATTAATTATACATTATTTTTCGAAAATATATTAACCACCAAAATGAATATATGATCCCAATAAACTGGGGTTTCCCCACCCGCTAGGCTGGGTTATGTAAAAAAGTACCTTAATTTATGGTCACATAGAATTTGGACCAGGCGCGTTATGGACACCTGGATGCCATGAAACCCGGATTTTTTCCGTCATGTTGATTATTTTCGGTATAAATAGACTAATCCTTCGTAGTCCATTTAGTTATACCCTGCATCTCGGGTGCAACAAGCCAACTAGGACTATGGGCAAACAGACTTCCATTGAACAACGGAATCTCATCCTGGAACACTTCAAGATCGGATATTCACATCGCCAAATAGTTCAAATGGTAAATCTAAGCAAGTCAACTATATACAGCATCATTCGTCGCTTCGTCGACGAAAATCGAATAGAGGACAAGGGCAGAAAGGCACCAAACAAGATTTTCACCGAACAGGAGGAACAAAGGATCATTAGGAAAATAAGGCAAAATCCCAAGCTATCGGCTCCAAAACGGACTCAACAGGTGGAGGATGCAATGGGGAAAAAGTGCAGTGTGAAAACTGCTCGAGTATCACGGAAGAAGCCCTTTATAAGCCCAAAAAAAATTGAACTAGGTTGACGTTCGTCAAAACCCACTTGGACAAGGATTTGGAGTTCTGGAACACAGTCATATTTGAAGGTGAGTCCGGAGGAAGTGTCATGGTATGGGCATCTATCTCGGCAGCCGGCGTCGGAAATTTTGTGTTTATTTAAACAACGATGGACAAGAATGTATGCCTCAATATATTAAAGCAAAGTTTACTCCAAAGTGCCGAGAAGCTGGGAATCCGACGTACTTTCCGGTTCTACCAGGACAACGACCAGGACAACGACCAGGACAACAACCAAGCATAAGTCCGGATTAGTACAGTCCTGGTCTGGAACTGCCCCCACATGATAATTCCACCGGCGATGTCTCCAGATTTAAATGTTATTTAAAATTTGTGGGCTCGGCTGGAAAATAACATCCGGAATCACAGCATATCCAGCAAACAGAATCTCAAGAATGATCTGTTGGATGAGTGGAGCAAAATCAGTCCAGAAACTACACGGAAGCTGGGATCTTCGATAGGTTAAGGGAAGTTATTAAAACTAAAGTTTCCTTTAATTTAACATTTTTGCGTTTGTTTCTTTGCTTAAGCCTTGTAGCACTTTAAAGTTTTAGCTAGACACTGTCGGAAATAAGCTGTGAGACACTGTATGTATATATATAATTGGTATATAGTGTGTCTAGAAAGGCATTTAAAATTCGCTTTGTAATTTGGAATACCTGACACGTTCTCTGATTCAAATGCAAATGTGCACTTGATTATGACAGTCT